TGTGTGTGTGTGTGTGTGTGTGTGTGTGTGTGTGTGTGTGTGTGTGTACTGTTGTCCAACTGATTGTGGTACATTTACGGTTGGTATAATCTTGCATTTTGCGACTGATGAAAGTAGATTTGCATGATCAGATGTGCTGTGACTTCCTTTTGCTCCGTTTTATAAACTGCCGGTAAAACCCATTTATCGCTGAGCTTTTGCTGCTGTCATGTGACGCATGCTTTTTCCAAATGTAAAGTCATTCAGGGTTTTGTGAGTCCGAAAATGTAAAACAGGAAGAGAATGGAACTCCAATAGAACTAAATAAAAAAACAATAATAGAAATGTAGGACTTTAACATTTATTATAAAAAGGTATACAAAAGAGAAGCTGTTGAAGCTAAGAGTCTTTTTGACAATGAAAAGAGACAATCTATTCTAAATGGTTATGAAAACCATGATGGAAATGAATCATGGGCTTTCGCAGCACAAGGAAACAAATGCAAAAAATAATGTAATTTAAAAACTATCCTTTATTATACAGCTTTAACGTACTTTTATTATTTTTTTGTCTCCAACACAACAATAATTAATTTCCCCCAATAAAGAAACTCCCAATATTTAAATTGCAATCCACTAATGAGCTCCTCAGACTCAAACCTGATCTCTGTTTTGTTGTCTCTATAAACCAAAATAAATTCAATGTATCCATACTGTTGTGCACCGTGACCCGTCACCGTTTTGCTGCCACACTAATCTTTTTTCTGATGAAACACAGAATCCAGGAGACATAGGGGGAGGAACAGACAGAGAGGAGGGAGGGAGGGAGGCAGACAGAAGATAGAGAAGCAAGGAGCCGAACGTCCCGTACCTGACAGACTGTCTGTCTACCTGCAGCATGGTAAACACTTGACCTCTGCAAGAGTTGTACTAATAATGGGAGGAGGATTGCACAGTTTGAACAACAACAGAAGTATTCTCTTTGTGTGTGCTGCCTGTGTGTATTGTATTTGTTGCTGGTTTGCATATTGCATATATGAATGCTTGTATATAAACAGGTAACGGGGGAGGGACAGCAGAGTGACTCCAGCACCTCTGCACCTTCCCTTCCTCCTCCTTATTTATTTGTCTGTATTAGTTAGCTCCTTCTCAGCACTTAAAATTAATGTCATCCAGCAGAAAATAGAGGCTGAAAGCTCAAATTCAGCACTTTCCCAACAGCCTGGTTATTTATCAAGCTAACAAGGAGAAGATGCATCCCGTTTCAGCCGGGCCCAGGAAATATGTGCCATTAAAGCCCAGAGCTGGTGTTTGAGAGCCAGGGAATACAAGTGAGGGTGTCAGGGAGAGGGGATGGACGGCGCCGCCAGCAATATGGATGCAGAGAGACCAGCAGACACATTTATATAAGGGACAATAGACACTCCAGTAGGAACATGAGAAGTGAGAGGAAACACACAATCTGTAGACCAACACACAAGCAACACAATACATATTCTGCGTGTGCTGCATGTGTGTGTATGAAGTGCTGATTCGCTCATGGCTATAAAAGACGATCCTTCGGGGGATACAGAAGACATAGTTTGGAGCTTTGAATAAATCATGTGCTGCCGGAGTGAGCTTAGCACTAATTTTCTCTTTAGGAGCCGGGTGTTGAAACACTTCCCGGGGACTGTTAGTATTGTGCCGTGTTAACATCTCTGTAGCATCAGGAGCTAACGCCGGAGTGTTGGGATTCAATTAGACACAGGGTGCAACGCTAAGCAGCTAGCATTGGGCAGTCACCACAGGGAAGAGAGAAGAGGGGATGCAAGGAAGGAGTGTGTGTTTGTGAGTGTGTTAAGGGGAAGGGGGCTGCGGGCGGGAGGAAGGCCCTGGGCTGCTGGCTGCGGTGATTCAGGGGAATACATTATATCACACTAACCTCCGGCTGATACCAAGTTCCTCTCTCAATCATGCTGTGAACACAGAGTCACAACCCGAGGACAGCAGTGGCTCTGAGGCTCTCACACAGTGTGGTTACAGCTTTACAACTAATTATGTTTGAATAAAACAACACAATCCAGGCTTAAACAACTGAAATCTCGTAGAGAAAATTGCATATTAACATAAGTTGAAAAGAGGAGCGCGTTGATGTTTAGAGGTTGGGCTCGAGGGTGTCTCTTTCACCTCAAGTATCATCAACTCTGTGGTTTAGAAGAAAGTAAAAACACATACCACATTTTTAAAAACAAGCCAAATCTAAACACAGTTGTTCTGTGTTCAGTGTGTTTGTCTTTACAACAGCAGTGAGGGAAATCTTTTTCCATTTTGTAATTTTTACCCAATTCTACTCCTCTCTTTTTAGACCATGCAGGCCTTATAATGAGCGTACATCCTGTTCATATCCTCCCTGTCATTTGGATTTTCTGGATCGAGGGAAAACGTCTGTGTCACTATCAAGAATGTATCAGCGTAACGAGTCTCACACTGAGCTGCTAGTAGTTATATATATCCCAGGCAGCAAATGGATAGTGAAGTGTGTCAAACTGTGGAAGGAGCCAATTCATGTCCATGCAGAATGCAAGAGAACCCAACCCAACACAGCTGCGCGTAATGCGTTACAATTCAATGTGCAAAGGTTGGGCGATACATTTATATTAATTGTTTATCATCTGAAATCATATTGAGGAATTTTGCTTCAATAACAGATATTATGACACAACGTTCTGTTACCTACATTGGTCGACTGATTTTTTTCCACAAGTTATTTTGTGAGAAATTGAATAATAATTCAGTTTGATTGCCGTTAGTTACCATGTGGTCTAATGGCTGCAGCCCACCATATTTGAGGCTTCGATATTTACTAGGCTACATTTAACAGCAAACATATGTTATGTGTTTTCATAATCAGCACACGTTTCCATACAAGCACTTGAAACGATGTTCTCTTTCTTCCTTCCTCTTCACACCTCGCTGTGCGCATGTGTCCTTCCTCCTCTGTCGTGTCTACAAAAACCTGACCTGCCTGCTGTCAGCCACAGAGGCACCTTGCGTCCCTGCGCCCCTCCCCCCGAGTGGCCGACTCACCCCGTCACCACGGGGGGAAGACGATCAGGAGGAGGGATGACGGGGGATAACGGGAGCGAGAGGAAAAAGTGGGGGTTGGGGTGGGATGAGGTGCAGGGGGAAGGATCTTGGAGGCGTGGTGGGTGGGTGGGGGCTCTGAAGCTGCCTCTAATGTGCCCTCTCCACTCCCTGCCTGTGACCTCAGAGCTCCTGACAGCCAGAAAGTGCTGAAGCATGCAGGTGTCCTAACGCTGCCACACAAACACACACACAAACACACACACACACACACACACACACACACACACACACACACACACACACACACACACACACACACACACACACACACACACACCAGCACGTGCTCCACGCTCACACGCGTAGAAGCAGGTGTCCTACCTTAGCAGCCTGCCGTTGTTATTAACTCTTACATTACCTTCATCCTCACTGTATCAGTACGTCGAGTATAAAATCGTGCATGATGTTCTCTATATATAATTGGCCAACAGCATAAATAAATTGGACAGTGATGGAGCGTACAGGAAAGGCAAAACAAGCATGTGCCTCACAATGCTGAGCACATGAGGAAAGTAGAGTACACTGTCTGCTGTACAGTAAAATTAGCCGATGCTGATGCTGTACTTTCCTCTGTCCAGCCTCTTCACTGTACAGTGTAAAACCTGAGGTGTCCAGAGAGTGTCCCGTGTCTGCGTGTGCGTGTGCGTCTGCGTGTGCGTGCGTGCGTGCGTGCGTGTGTGCGTGTGTGTGTGTGTGTGTGTGAGGGGGGGGGGGTTAGGGTTAGAGAGTTGTATTACAGTGGTGATGAGTTGCCTGGCTGCGAGGCTGATACCTCAGCAGCACCCTGCATTGACCAGGCCTTTAAATAAAGCCTTCGATCCTCCAGCAGCAGAGAAGGTCACTGCCTGCCTCTGGTTACCCTGCCTGTCTGTCTGCATCCACGGCCAGGAGCCCTCCTGCCATCCCTTCTTCCCTTCTTCCTTCTTCCCTTCCCCTTGCCTCCTGTTCTCTCAACCTGGCGTGCATGTCTGCATTGAAATCCAGGTGCCCTGCCCTCAATCCCTAACTCCTTCCTTACTTCGCCTCAATTCCTTAGATCCATCCTTCTATAAAAACTAACCCTCCTTCACTCACTTCATCATCCTCCTCTGTCCCACCATCTGTCCATCTACGTGTCAGCCAGAAATAAAATATATTGCACAGCGTTTGTCTCCGCAGAGAGAGCTGAGAGAGTGAAGGAGTTCAAGGGGTCAAGACAAAAGTTTTGGCCTCATCCCATGAGCACTGCGAATGTCACCCTCCTGTCAATCACACAGCACTGTCACAGCCCCAAAACAGAGGACTGCATAACAACGCACACAGAGAAGGATGAGAGCGCGTTTGATCATCTAAATATGAGGTGAGAAGAATATTTTAAAATGAAACCCTCCCTGGGGTATGCCATACCAAATAAGAAATGTCTTGTTAAATGAAATCAATATACTGGTTTTGATTTCACTAAGAGGAGAGATACCAAATCATATTCCATTTTGGATGGTACATACATGTTTGAATTGTTTTACCGTGTAAAGATTGACTGTAACCAAAAGCAGATTACAGAAAATTACATTGGTGAGACACCCTTAACTTTTGTAATTGTGAATACAATTAATAAAAGGCCTGAATTAATAGTATTATTTTAACTGATCAGTTTGTAGAAACAGTACTGTTAAAGGCGTAATGTAAACATTATGCGCAGCATTTTGATACACATGCAGCAGACATTTAGATGATCAGACTTCTGAAAACGTTTTGATGCGGTTTATATTCTTATATATCATAATATATATTTTATAAAAGAATGTAAGTATATAATTAATTTGAGTTTTACAGTAAAGGAGTACAAAGGCGTTAAAAACTGAGCATGACCAATTACCTCAAAATCCAGGGTGGTGGGACGGACACAGCTCTCTATCACAGATGGAGGAACTTTCTGGATGTCCTGCGAAGACAGAAAACAGAAATATATTATAAAACCTTCGCTGTGATCCAACAACACAGGACACTCTGCTGCACACAAAACACACTGAACATAAGGTTATGGTTGTTTGGTTTTTAAACCGACTACGAATTTAAAAAGAAAAGTGACACGATGGAGAGAGCACAAATGAAGTCACAAATTACCGGGACAGAGAACATGTTATATAAATATATAATTCTGAATTGCCATTAATGTACAAATGTGTACAAAAATAAAAAACACAAAAACAAAAGTTGTTTAAAATTCTGAGTCAGATTAATTAATATAGTTCTGTGATAATGTTGTCATGGTTGACTAAAACCATGACCATTTAAAAAAAATCCATTGCTTTATTAAAACACTTCGAAATGTAAGTGCATTGCTAAAAATATTTTCATTTAGATTCAATGTATTTGTTCATAAATTACTGAAACTAAGCAGGCAGGTCAGTCTGATTATGAGGACCATATGTGCACATACATTTGCATTCATTTCATCACACGTTTGTGTGAGAATATAACATACGCATACACGTGAGCTATACATGAAAATATATCAGGTACAACTGTGGATAAATAAACCTGCTTTAAAAACCTAATGACAAATTATACTGAAAGATTATCCTGAAAATTATCCTGGACTTCAGTAAAATGAAATGAGGCAACGCAACGACAAAGTATATTAATGCCCCCCAATCCATCTTTGAGCTACAATGAGAGCCATTCATTTCCCTGTAATCCGATTCACACTGGGGCCAAATGGACTCTGACCCATTCAGCTACATAGGAGCTCCCAGTAGCAGACCCACAGCAGACACAACAATGCTCTTAAACATCAACCTGGACGGACCAGCCTCTCAGATGTACCTATACTGTAGAAAATGTACAGTTTCAACCCCATAGAAATCAATGTGCACATAATTACAAACACCTATAGGTGAAGACCAACAAAGGGCCTGATCAACACAAAGAGCCAGACACAGAGGAACATTTCACATACACACAAACACACAAACACACACACAGACACACAGACACACACACACACACACACACACACACACACACAGGGTTTGAAACAGGGAAAGTGGAGGCCATGTGCAGAGAGCTGCTACATGGCAGCAGTGTGTGGGGTCAAGGCCTTTCCCAGGTACAAATGAAAGAGGGAGCAGAAACTTTGGAAGAGCTGAACAACGCTGTGGGTCACCTTGCCTCGCAAAGAGATCAATGTCTGTTTGACTGGCTGAGAGACGGAGAGAGAGAGAGAGAGGGACAGAGAGAAAGAAAGAGACGGAGAGAAGAAGAAAGAGAGAGAGAGAGAGAGAGTGGCTGACTGCAGTAGAAGGGTAAATCACCTCTCGCTTCATTGAGATGCAGGTAAAACACACAGGGGTCGGGCTTGGCTCCAGCTCCGCCCTGCATAACACAAACTTATGCACACGCAGACTTAAACACACACACATAGACAAACACACACACACACACACACACACACACACACACCCCACACACACACACACACACACACACATACACACAATGCACTCGGTTTCACCACGTTTGCTGCGGTCCAAAACACACCACTCCACTGACTCTGTGCCCTGCAACTCAACTCACTGTTGAAAACATCAACACAGCCTCGGCTATGTTTATCTGTGAGTCAGAATATTGTGATCACATATAATTAAATCATAATTAGCTTTCATCTATTGCCCTTTAGTAATGCATTCTGGTGTGAGCTTTTTATACAAGCAAATGCAAATCCAGTGTCTGAATTCCACTGCAACATACACAAGACACATTGCATCTGCCCATACGCGCGTTCTTTTACAGCTGAGCATTTACAGTAATCTCAATTCAACACAAGACTTTAGGATTGGATTCAGACAATCACATTACCGCCTCTCTACCCATGCTTCTATGTGCTGGAAAAAATCACTGTGTAAAGCCAATAAGATACACACAGAGGCAGCAGCACAAAGCTTCTTTACAGCTGCTGCATTCCCACCACATGCACAGGCGAGACAGGAGGGGAGGTTAAATTATTAGGGTTTCAAATAAATGACACATAACTCAGGACACTGCAAGACAGAGAGAGAGGGAGGGAGGCTCGGCATCACAGGTCTACGTGATGGACGGACCATAGAGGAACATAAACGCAGCTGATTTAAATCAATTTAAATGTAAATGTTTATCGCGTGGAGTGATGCAGATGCGTATTGAGTGTAAGAGATTGAAATTGTTTCCTCTTTTGAATGTGAATATGTTTTAACCCTTTAGGGGTTGGCTTTTCATGGGGAAGAAAAGAAAATGAAGGTACACAAAAACTGTTGTGTTACAAAATGAGACATGTCTCCAGTTGTTACAAAAATAATTAAATGAGTAATCGAAAAGCAAATTGTTTTTTATGTTGTGATAGCCTTTCTTTAAATGATAACATGGATTGGATAGAATATTATTACTGACACCTTACGGTAATAAATACTTTTTCAGGTAGTGTTTTAAGAACTCTTTATTTACTGCTCGGATGATTATTAACACTTATTAGTTAACCGTAATAAATCAAGTAAGTATTCAAGCTGTTCTTCTTTTGCGACTATGGCATTCTGACTTTTTCTCTGCTAAAGGAGACATCATTTATTTTCCTTACAATCATTTTGATAAAAATAAAACGCTACATGCCTCACAGTGTCCTGATAAAGCGACTTACTCATGCCTATAGATTTAATGCACTCAGTTGCAGCACATATACACCCTTCCTCCACAAGGTCAAATAAAAGACAATGTTGGCTGGTTATTGAGCACTCACACAAATAGACACTAAAAAGTGCTCACATCCTTTGTCCTATTAATTCTGAGGCATTAAAGCGAAGTACATGATGATGATTCAAATGTCAATACTGATAAATTTCAAAGTGATTTCCCATAGTTGACCTGAAAGAGAGAGTCCAATATTGTGACAGCAGACAACTACATTATCTTTAATAACCTAATCATTGGACAGACTGCAAATGATCACAGTGCAGAAGTCAATAGAGGGCCGGAGAATAGAATTACAGTTCATACTGATAAGATTAATAATGTGGTGTGTCTGTATTCTATATGTACACGCTTTTACATGATGTGCAAATGAAAGAGAGGAAGCAAAAGGCGGAGAAAGAAGCAGTGAATTTGGTTGAGCGCTGAGAAATGAGTAGGATGCGCTGAAATATTATTTCCTGTGCCTTCTGTCCTCCTTTAACACAGGAAGTGCTACTGAATCTTCCTGCCACTTGGTGTGTCTTCAAGTCAAAACACACAAACAAGATGAAAACGTCCCACACCATTTCCTCGCCTACAATGATCAGCACTTTCCTACTTTTCATTCTTACATATTGAGAAGTGGAGCACTGGAAACCTATGAACCTCCACACAAATCACAGCGCCTGTCTGTCACGTTACATTTAAGACCGTCCAGAGCTAAATCCTGAGCCTCCACAGAAAGCTAGCCCTATCTGCCTCACAGAAGAAAGGGGTGCCGTGAAAGAAGTATAGCATCTCTAGTTCCAGGTTATAACACAAATGTAATTAAATAGCACACTATATTGACCTAATCAGATAGGAAGGCCATAAATTAGGGGACACATGCTCACTAAAAGGCCCTCTCCTCTCAGCTAGGATGCATCTCTGATCGTTTATCATCTGAAAGGAGCAGGAAGGCAGCCAGCATCTCCCTCTCTCCCTCACTCTCTGTAATACTCTCTCTGTCCCGCTTGCTCTATCTCTGTCTCTCACTCACTTTTAATCACAGAGAGAATCATTCCTCCAGGCAGGAGAGGATCATACTCTGCCTTGTCCCTCACTCTGGGCTTTCATTGGAGCCAATGCCAGTGTGTGACACAGAGTTGTACAGGTGAGGCACAGCAAATACACAGTCTGTAAAGTCTTAAGCTCGATTCAGACTTGCTTGGAATGTGTTCAAGTTTCTATGATACAATTTGAAAAAACGTCTCCTTACATTCAAAACAGAAACACAAAACGTAAGCAAACGCACAGACACAGCGGTGGCAGTGATCTTGTATGCAGCCCAACCCAGACCATATATGCATCGTTTGTCTCGGCCATGCTGCTGCTCAGGATGCCCTGAGTTCAGCGGGCTGATTCAGGATCAGCAGTCCTCCGCAGGCCGGGAGCTGCTGAGCCGCTTGTCCCTCCCACAGGAAACAAACTCCGGGTGCCTGCTGTGGCTTTTCTCCTCCTCCTTTGATCAGCGTGACTAGGTCGGAGCCAAATTAACGATCTTTACATTGAAGCAAAATGGTGTGTTTTCTAAAAACCCTCGCATGTCATAACTATAGCGAAAAATGTTGTCAGGATACAAACTAAAGTAAGAAGCGTTTATTGTTATGGGAATTATTATTCCTGGTGATTATAAAGTGTTAGACTGCAGAAAGTGTATTTCTATTCGCACTTAGCCTATTTGGAGGATGTCAAAATTCATATTTTCAAAATTAGACATAATTGTATAATCGCATATTTAATCATTTTGTCATCTAGAGGTTTATCTACGATCGATTTTCTAAATGAAACACACCACGGACAATATTCAACAAGTGGACAGCTACCGAGTAAAAAGTGCAAGTTTACTCTAAAATCAATCATTAACTCTTAACGCTTTTTCCAGGACAGCTGCAGCACGATTAATAGGCCCTGAGGCAAAAGTAAAATTATATCATGAATATCCGAGCGTTTTTGTCTGATTAGCTTCACGTTTTTTGAGATACATTTTCCTGCCTTTAACTACGCAACAAGTGAAGATCGTCCTTTACATTTCTTGAGAAGCCAAAAGATAAAAAGAAAATACTTTGAAATATTTCGCCATGTGTTTTTCAAGGGAAAATAAATAATGAACACATTTGAGTCGACGTATTAAATAACGTATACACACATAAGAGCTGGAGTTGATCTTTGAGCTGTTATAATTACAAATCCTGTTCGCAACATCTGCATCGCGCTTCAAAAATAAACAGATGTGAACAGATGTTTACATTTTCTCAATGATATTTGCAATTGACTGTTTATATTTCAGTTAAGATCGAGAGGAGATTACAGGACTACCAGTGTGTGGGGTCGCCTCAGAGACACAGTGAGAAACAACATGCAAAACTAAAGAGAACAATAATAACAAACATTTTCAAGAGAATATATTTGTTCTCATTCATGAAGATTTATTGATGAATGGTATATTTATAAAATTTCTTTTTTTTAAATTGAACACGATGTCTGCCAGTTAACTTTACTGTCTAGACCCTTTAAAAAACATTACAAAAGATGTATGGCTTAATACTTTGCTGAATTCTTCTACAGCATCGCGAGAATATATAACTTTTTATAACAATTTCCAAACAGTTCACAGTTTATTTACCGAACAACACCCATAGGGTTCTGTGTAAACGTAATTAAGCTCCTTGAATGAAAGGAAAGCACATTAACAACGAATTGCAGGAAGAACAGATCATTTGTTGCAACAATTTGGCGTCACAAAGTGGCCTATTTCTCATTTATTTCAGGACATGCATCATTATCTGCTTCAGTTCTGTTCAAAGCATCTTGTCCCTTTTTATTTTCAGTCCCACTTGTTGATCGCAATAATCTATTCTTTGCATTTGTCAATAAATGATATAATTGTTTAGATATCTCAATGATGCTCACCTTGGCAGTGTTGTTTTTGAATATAAATCAATATTAAGAAAAAAGTAGCTTTTTTCCACAGTGTCTTTTTTCTTCTTCAGAGGGCTCCAAAATCAGCCTATAAAAAGGTGATGGGTCCATATTCGGGGGAACTTTTATAAAACCAAAACGACGGATGAATGCACCTGTTTACACTTTGAAACAAATAAATGGCAACATGTGATGAGGCTTAACAATGCAGTCATGGTTTCATACAATCATCAAACAAAAATTCACAAAACAAGTAAAAAGGAAAGAAAGTCAAAACACAATACGTACATGACCAGCATGCATGGCTTCACAAAACTGTTACAGTCTCACATCAATTCTCCAAACTTCTACCGAGTTTGGATGCTTTTTTCACAAGACAATGATGATATGAAAATGAGATCATTCATATAAAAAAATACATGTACTTTAAACAAAAATGCATTATAAATCCAAATAAAATAATACTGTTGTGTTTGGAGATTGTTGATTTTCATACAACCGATTTTGGGTAAAGGGAACAGGGTGGACTATAGGCGGACCTATGCTGAGGAAAGTGTCTTTCATGCAGTGTGTCCAAAGAAAAACGTCGCGAATTGTACAGAACTCTTTTCAAATATTTGTAGAAACCAAATTGTTATTCATTCATTTAAACAGGTCTTTTTTTATATCCTCTAAAATAAATAAAACATAAATAAAAACTAAAATCCTCAAACTGAAAGAAAATTATTTTGAAACACAGAAAAGTGTAAAACTATTTTTTCTTAACTATGCAGCTTTAACAAACGTTAACTTCACAAGCAGGAACACCCTATTTTTTTAAGTGCGTGCCAATTTAAAGTTTTTATTTTATGTTTTTTTATGCGGGGACGGTTATTAAAACTTTTGAGCGCCGAGACTCACATGAAAAACTCCGGGGACGAGGGGTTGTTGTCGCTTCCGGACCCTCCGTTTTCTCTGAAGCCGGTGCTGATCAGCTTCTCGTATTTCTCCTTGTAGGCATCCCTCTCCCTGGCCAGCCGGGAGATCTCCTGCTTGAGGTGGTCCACCTGCTGAATGAGTTGCGTCTTCTCGCCCTCCAAGACGTGCCGCTGCTGGACCCGCTTGTACCGGCAGGACTGGGCATAGCCTCTGTTCTTTAGCGTCCTCCTCTTCTGTTTCAGACGGATCACCTCTTCCTTGCTGACCCCCCGGAGCTGCCGGTTCAATTCCCGCACCGACATGGTCACCAGCTGCTCGTCCGAGAACCGGTCATCCAAGCGCAGGTGCTGGTGGTTTCCCCCCATGCCGCCGCTGGATTGCGACCCGGAGGAGGAATGATGTCCCCCTGGATGGTGGTGGTGATGATGGTGGTGGTGGTGGTGGGGATTCCCATTCTGAGCTGCGGCTGCAGCGATAACTGCCGATACCACGGCGGCCGCTGATCCCATCTCCTCCCCGGCCATGGAGCCCCCTGCCCCGGCTGCGCCGCCGAACTGCTGCCCCCTGGCATAGCCATCGAAGGTCTGGAGCTGGTGACTGCTGCTGATGAGCGCCTCTACGGCGTCCTCCGGGCTAAAACCCAGAGCCTCGGGGTTCAACTGCTGTTGGTACCCGTTCATCCAGTAGAAATCCTCCAAGTGTGCCTTCTGTTCGCTCCCTGATCCCGGACTGGGCGCCGAGAAGCTTGGCGAGGGGGGAACCGAGCTGCAAGGCGTGCTCATCGGGGTGGAAGACAGGGATCCCCCGGCGACCAGGCGGCTGCACTGGCTGATGCTGCGATCGGGCTCCACCGGCTCCTTTTTCACTTCAAACTTCATCAGATCGAAGTCATTAACATATTCCATGGCCAGGGGACTGGTGGGCAGGTCGGAGTTGCTCATTGCCAGCTCTGATGCCATCCTCTTGCTGTTGACAGTCCTCCAAAGGGGGTGAGGAGCACCTGTCAAAGTGGGCTGCTGAGACACGCACTGAGCCAGCTTGATTTATTTATTTATTTTCTTCAAAACCGGAGAAAAAGTGGATTTTCACGCACTAATTGCGCAGCGCAGGTTTTGAGTTTGTGTGTCGATAAGTTTTTTTTTTCTTCAGTCTGTGTTGCACAGACGCATTGGAGCAGCGCTGTTTCCTCCCTCTCTCCCAGCGTGCGGGTGTCTGAGCGCCGTTGTCTCTGTTTCTACCATTTAACACTTCATGGCTCCTTTTAGGATTAGTGCGCCAAATTGAGGAGGTTCACGCACGTGTCCCGGGCAAATAGTTGCTTTGTGGAAAGAAAAAAAAACTCCACCCTAGGATTGATAGATTTTTTTTCTAAGGCATCAGTCAGCCGACGAGTTAAAAAGCATTGCTTAGTTTTATAGGAGGGCTGACGTCAGAACTGAAATATGAAATTGACTGAGACCCAGCCAATGAGGAGCCCATCTGGGGACGTAATTAGCATAATAGTATAGAAAGCAAAGTTTTCTGAACTGTCCAAGACCATCAGCAGATTGACACATGGGATTTAATTGGCTATTCATTATTATTCACTTTGCATGGAGAAGAAGGAAACAAGTAAAACAGAACAGATTCCGATTATTGACAGAGGATGTCAAATGGTAAATATGTGTATGCTTTTCAAATACATAAATCGTTATAATTTCAACATACATTAAAGGTAACAAACAAAAGCAATCATATTAAATATAATTACATTAACTCATATTTATCAAATATATTTTATTTTTTAGAACAGGTTTTTTTTAAATTATTTTGTAGTTCCTTATCCAGATCTCATTAAGTGTTGATAAAACGAGCCTTTGTACAGGTGTATTTCATAGGCAGTTTATAATTAGAGAGTCAAATTGATTTCAAAACTCGTTTAAAACAACACTCGTTTTAGTCACTCCAACCGAACGTCTTAAATTGAAATCCATCAAAAATGCCTTTCAGTGTTTCTTACTGAACGTTAGATTAACGGTCTATGTTTAACATAAAATTGCAAAAAAAGGCTAAACAGACTACAGACAAAGCGGATCGCTGTGTGGGGAGGTGAAAGTGTTTAGAAAGAGCATGGCAGGGTCCGATTCTTTGACATTGTTTTGAAACCCAATGTCGCCACCTTTCGGTATAAAATAGAACTGCATGTGGATTCAATTGCTGAGTGCAAATTATTTGCTGCTTTGAATGTTGTCTTTTGTGCGAATTACTTTTCTTTTGTAAGGCAAGACAGCTCTGTTTGTCTTACTGCTGGATGTGAAGATATGTGAAGGTTATTTGACAGGAAAAACTTCCATGACTCCTAAGGACAAAAAATACATTTTTGGATTCAAAACAAAGGACAGAACCACATGGAAAATACAAATTAAGTCTATAAATGTCTTTTTTGTCAGCAAATTGAAAGGCATTTTAAAGGAGAAAATGCAATTTTTACATGTGTCTTATGGTAATTCACAAAAGGCGAGTCCTTTAAAATAAAATCCCCTTTCTAATGGAATACTCAGAAGTAAAAAGCCCTCCATCTAAATCCTTCTATAGTCTACAGTCTCAATCCCATGTAATGATCACAGCATCAGTGTTCTCCTCTCTTCTCTATGAGTCTCTCTTTCCTGGAGCATATTCCTCAGGAGTGGCACATAAGAACAAACAATAAGGAGGGCTATACACAGAGGACCAGAGAGTAAATAAGAGAACTCTCCCTGGAACATGTCACACGGGGAAGCTTCAGAAAACTACAAAGCCGCCAGCAGATAATCCAACTCCCCGGTGTCCCGACGCAAGTAAATATTCTCTTGGTCCCTGTGACTGTTCATGGGGACTTAACGTTAAACAGGAAGGATAAACATCGTGTTTTATTCATTAGAACACACAACAGAGGCCCCTCTGATGCTTTTGAATAAATATGAAACAGATGAAGTGTCCCATCTGATGCGACTATATGTTCTTGCCGTTGTAGTGTAAATGCAGACTGGCACAGCAGGGAAATTACATCAGATTAACAGTGATCATTTTCATACAAAATGTGTCTTAACACGTATGATGTGACAGAAGATCATGTCATGACATAGGGAGATGAAAAAAACTGGAAAGTGAAGAAAAAGGCTGATGGCGTATGCAAAATGTTTTAAAATCTTGTTAGCAGAAAAATCCTCAAAATTAGAATGATTTTTATTTTATATGTAAAGTTGCTTGGCACACAAGTGAACAAGAGAAACAGAGAGAAGTTAAAGTTGCGCATGTGTTCACTCCACACAGGTCCATATTTAAAGCAGGAGGGGACACTAGCTGCTTTGTGAGCTCTGGGTTTGCCAGATCTCTTAAAACAGGATTTATCGGGCCGGGAGTCTCAAGGGTTAACAAGCAGAGTCCAGAGCCAATGCATCAGCTGTGTTACTCAGGGCTAATAGTCCTGTATGCACCCCATCCAGTCTCCCTCTGGAGTTTCCCATAGGCAGCCCGCTACCATGAAGTTTACAACTGTCTTTATTTTATCGGGGGGATTTTTTTCCTACATTATACAGGGGTTGCACTCAGGCATATATCATAAACAAGCTTATAGAGCATGAGGAGGACCACTTATACAGCATCAGTACAGAGGAAAGTTAAGAGCATTTGAACATCAGTGTTATATCATAATAACATATTTTAATATATTAAAATAAAGGCCAGGAAAACAACCAGAATAGCTCTCATCCTTTTTCCAAAAAAACCTTAATGTGGATAGAAGTTATGCTCCAGGTGGAAAAAATAGCCTTCTTTTACTCAAAATTGAGGGCTGTGATACTTTCTGTAGAAACCGATGTGCCTAAACCATTATGTTATAGCATTAGATACTTTTACAAACTAATGTAATGTGGAACCTGTCAGCAGGTCTCCCTTGAAAAAGAGATCGATGATCTCAATGGGATTCACCTGGTTAAATAAAGGTTTGAAATGAAATATTTGAACCAGTTTGTGAACCAAGAGCTTTGCAGTGATTTGTGAATGAAACATCAAATCCTCGAACATGTACAAACCAGCTTTGTGTTAATAGCCCGGCCCCTGCATGTGGAGCCCAGCCACAGTGTGTGTTAATGAGACACTGCCTGACCTTTCAGAGTTCACCCCAGGAGAACACTGATGCATCCTGTGTAAAGGATAACCAGTGCTCCCAGAGTTCCCCGTGATTTACTGGTACAGTGACTTTACTAATTGTTACATCTATTAGAAAACATCCTCATTACAGTATGACTTATGTGCCACATTGCAATAGACTCCCTTTTATTTTCAGCATGCTAACCTTTTGTTTGCCTCTGGGGTTCCCTGAAGTCGTGCACTTTACAGAGGATGTGCACAACTTGTTGTTTGCTTTGTTACCCACCTTTGTAGTGGAAATGTTTTGCTTACAGGTGAAGAAGCAGAAGCTCCTTGCGAGGTCTGTACAATTATTAACATGCAGAAATAGACTTTATTTAGGACAAATATGGCAGCTTACACACCACGATAAGATCTTAATTCTGTATAAAATATGATCACAATGTTTTGATAAAGAAAGGAAATGGAGGATCGAGTGTTGATTAAAATAAAAACTCATTACAGCTCACTTTATGCATCTGAAAGATATGCATTTTATAACCCCACTCAGACTATTCAAAATCTTAAGTGTGCCAAAAATAGCCAATACATTACCATATTTAACAGACTGTAACTTAAATAAAACGACAGAAACTAAACTAAAGGATTTCTGCATGACCAAGATTATGCCTTATAATCATTCATTACATTCCCACTGGGAGGTAGGCTTCATTTTCATTCTCATTCCCTGTTTAATGCCATATATTAAACTCTGGTGGCACCACAAATGGGGGACAACCAGACAAGTGGGCTCAGCGGGCTCATTGGAGACACATTTAATTAGCAAGACAGAAAATGAAATGTTTCGTGGGGTCTTAACTAACTGTTGTATCTTTTGTAATAGAATGAGGAGCTGTGAGAAGCTATTACAAGGAAGAGCAGGAAGAACAGCACCGAGCTTTCCTCTGCCAGTGTTTTATAGGGGGAATAAAATAATGCATATTAAGATAATAAGCTTCCACATCACGGAAACAAAGTGCCATATTTGCAAAGTGCTACGTTTGAGAGAACAGGCTCTCTCTCTCGCTCTCTCTCCCACTATCTCACTGTCCTGTTCTCCAATCCCGCATTAATCAGACTTTTACAACCTTTTTTCAATTCATTTACTTGCTCAGAAGGTGGGTAAGGGTGAACTGTCTGTTTATGTGTGGACTTGAAAAATGTCTGCATGGTTAATGGAAGATAAACAGGCCCTCAACAAGTGATTAACTTGCAGTGTAGCTGTGCGCATACATATGGGCTTACCAGTTGTATGTTTTTATGAAGGGCCAAGGGTTCTCTGTTGTTTTTTTACGTCAGATCTAGGTCTGCTTTCATTCAAGAAAGGCAGAAAGGGCTGAGTCACTACAGTCAATCAAACCCTTAATGTCTCAAAATGGAAACATTGTGCAGAGTAAAACAACGGAGCAGTGTGAGTTCTGATTCAAATGACTGGATGCTCTTGATGAGAAATGCAGGCTGTGATTCTCTCTCTGGCTCTGTGCCTGCCAGAAGGATGCTTCAACCTGGTAATTGGCCACAATGAGCAGACTTGCATGTGTCAAACTCTCCTCTTCACATCTGGTTATTGTCTCTCACAGCAGGAGGACATCACAGGCATCGTCTGAGAAGTCTCATCTGCTCTCTGTCGCTGTGTAACACAGGATGCTTCTGCTATTATACTTTAAAAACCAGCAAAATGTATGTGTAGTTTGAATATGATATCTCTAGCGTGAACGAGTAACATGATGAAGAGATGCTGGTCATTCACATGTCAGAGCAGTCTACGAGTTAATGATTTTCCAGGGTATTATGAGTACACAAATATGTT